CATTAATTGAAGTCCTTTAAGAGATCCTGAACTGTAGGATCCAGTTGTAGTCCTGCCCAACTTCCTGAGCTACACAAACTGTACATAATTAATGTGAATTTTACATATTCAAGGCTTGGGTAATTTCCTATAAAGTAATAAAATATAATTAATGTATTCAATTTTTGAATTCATTTACATAGATATTTGTATTTCTGAATATATAGTCCACAAGATTTCTTAAGATCTCATACCATTGCCAAAATGTTTATTATTTTCTTGTAGTAAGAACATTTAACATGATATTTACCTTCTTGACAAATTTTTGAGAGCATAATATGCTATAGTTGACTACAGGTACAATGTTGTTTAGCAGATCTCTAGAATATATTCATCTTGCTACACTGAAACTTTATGTGGCATGATTAATAACTCCTCATTTTGCCCTCCTTCCAGCCCCTGCCAATCACCATTCCACTCTCTGGTTCTTTGAACTTGAATATTAAAAACACCACATGTAAGTGAAATCATGCAGCATTTGTCTTTCTCTGGCTGGTTTATTTAACAGCATAGTAGTGTTTTTAAGGTTCATCTACACTGTCATACATTGCACAATTTCCCTCTCTCTTTGCCTTGATGCTTCTGGTTTTATCGTTATTTAACATGACTAATAATGCATGTAGGTGTGAATCTACTCTTTGAGTGTAAAGGCTAGGTTATTTATTGTTCAAAATACATTATTCGATGCATTGTGAACTGTTAAATGAATCACAGTAATTCTGTTCATAGTTTAATTTTAGTGTAAATATTATTAGCTCTTCTAAATTCATTAGCTTTATACTCTATTTGTTTTAATCATCAATCTTTTCATAGTTTGTGCTTGTTTTACAGCACAATACTGCTTCCTGCATAATCCAGTCAGCAGGGAGGCATTGCAGACAGTGGTATGCGAGTCTCTCAGGTTCATCTCATTGTGTCATTAATTCCACTGTCATGCTCCTTCTATTTCTCTTTAGTATGACATCGACATAGCTGATTGAGTGCGCACTCCATTATGACATTTTAGAATTTCCTGTAGTTGTGCTTCAACATGTTTGTGCTTTTATAAGAACAATTTAAATGTCAACATACTTCATGAATATTGTATCTGATTATGAAAAGTCACATAGATTTCACAAATAGGTATAACTTTTTAATTTGAAGTGAGAAATTTGTCCCTTTATTGCATCTTCTTAATAGTCAAGAGGATATATTACTATTTGATGAACTATGAAGAAAATTTATATCACTATTGAAAAATTCAGCACTGAAAACAAAATGGCCTCAACCAGGCCTGGGATTTAGCTCAGTGGCTCTGGCACTTGCCTTGCAAGTGTAAGGTCCTAAGTTCAATCCCTGGTACAAAAGAACAAGTCCTCAACCCTTCAGGATGTTTTATGTTCTGCAAATATTAATGGACTGAAAAGGCTAACTGGTTTGGAATCTTTAATGGGTATACATGTAAAATTTAATTTGAACAAAAATTTTTTTTTACTGTTTTCATAAATCTATTGTAGGATAAAAACTATATTTATATTCAGGTTCATGCTACAGACCTTATTTTTTGTGTGATTGAAATAGAGATACAGGCTAAATCTGGAATCATTTGATCACTTTTTCATTAACTGCTTTGATGTTGGATGATGTTTCAGTTTTCTTCATCTTTTTGTCTGCTGTCATCTTTGAAACTTTGTTTATATTTATTGATATGCTCCAAGCAATTTAATAATGGTAATGATCTATGACATATTAAATGTAAAAGAACTAAAACATATTTTTCTGCACTCTCCTACCATAGTAAGGTGTACTGTTGCTGCCAAACCTGGACTGACTCTACTTATCATTAGATTAATGCCTTCTATACAAACACACACATATATACAGCATGGATAGTCATGGGTTAAGCACACATGAGCATATTCAGACTCCCATTACTTATATTTGTGGTCACGAATTAAGCATATGTATATATGTAAACATCTGGATTATGCACAGGCATGTACATACCCCCATACATATTCACACTGCATATATGTGTGTGCACAGATTAAGCAATGACCATGCTTTACGTTAATACAGCCTCTTCCCAAATGATGAGCAGGTGAAGAAACAGTCTTATAATCTGCTACTTTTATGATTTTGAAAAATTTTACCTCAGCAGATGAACTCCATACAGAAAGAATTCAGAGAAATTCCATAAATAAGAGGACGCCAATTCGGGTTTTTGAACTATTTAAAAATACTAATATCAAGCTTATTACTCTGTCACTTGAACCATTTTTTGATTTCTTATGAGAATAATTGTGCTTTTGAACCTGATAATCCCTCTGTTTCTCAAGGTCATACCACAAAATAGGAAGGACAGGATACAACTAAAACCACACAAAACAAAAATCAGGGATTTAAATACTTTTGATTTTATCCATATAAATTCTCATTTAGATTAAAAATCACTTCCCATAATTCCTTCAGCTGCAACAAGATAAGTATTTCAAGATGTTCACTCCAAATTTGTGGACTTATGTTCTGAATGATCAGAGAATAGTAAAGCTTGAATTGATCAGTGGCATTATGTGGCCCACTGCTTTTGGTTGGCAGATGAGTTGGTGTAAATTAATTATCTAAAACTTTGTAGAGTAGAGAATGAGAATGGAAAAAGGAGTCATTCTTATTTTAGAGGAGGAAAGTGAGGCATGAAGACATTAAGTAAGTGACCAACTTGATTAGAATACATTATTAGCTTTCGGGACTAATATTTAGCCTGCCAGTATCTCATGTAGTGCCTTCCACTACCCTATCTTATACTGCTGATGGCTTTAAAGTGTCACCTGTAGGTGAAGAGATAATAATTTAATAAGGAAGAAATGTATTTCTTGGCTCTCTGGTCAGGACACATATTGTCATGTTATGTTGTCAGTAAAGGTGGGGTTCTGAATGTCACTGCTGGAGAAATTCTGAGCTTAACTCTAAAAAGAAAAGGACAATGTCATTTCAGTATGTGTGTTTAACAGACTTCATTTTAGTTGTAATATTTTGACTATGCAACATATAATAAGATCTTTTTTTACAAAATATATTTGCAGGCTAAAGTCTAGCTTCTAGCCACGCTGACTAAACACATGTAATTGCTCTGAATGGACTCTAAATAGCTTTCAACATTTCATTACAAAGCAATTACATGTGAATCTTTCCCAGAGCTCTCAGCATGGTTTTGAAAAAAGAAATTACACAAACAGGTGAAATCAGCCATTATGAAATATAATCTACAAGCCTGGAAAGCAACTTTTCAGAGTGTTAGTGTAGTGAGGGAGGCTTAAACCAAGTGATAAACAAGTTTTGTTTTCAAGATTGCCACTCAGAAAAAATTTAGCATGCTGAAAGTAAGTTCAGTGTTGAAAAGAGAAGAGTTACTTCATTTTATAATGCTATAAAGCACTGCAGAACTTATTAGATGTTCCATAGAGGTTAAATGAAGATCAACTTCTCGTAAATTCATATTTTAAAAATATACATTTGTCTATGTAAAGCAAGACATAACCGAACACGTGTCTGTATTTAAGAAGGACACAGTTGTCTAAAATTAACCGAATGCTTACTGTGTACCAAGTGCTTTTCTGATCACATTACAGGTATCCTCAAAGAAATTCTGCAGAGAAGTTGTTTCTGCTATCCTTATTTTTTTTCATAGAGCAAATTCAGATACAAGGAATCTAAGAAATTTGTTCAAGATCAAGCAGTCATTGATGGGAGGTCAGGATTCAAACAAGGTATTCTGATGCCTGGACAAAAGATCTCAACTTCTTTTAATTTGATCATATATTTACTATTAAGGATTCTATATGGAGATATGACTCTGTCCTGGAAATTTAGAGATGGAAAGAAGGGTGAGCCAATAACACAATAGCTGGGCACGACTTTATAAAGCATCGAGTATTCTTTTGGCCTTAGTGCCGTGCTTGCAAATATGGCATTTAAAAAAAAATGGAGATACCAGCAATGGCACAGTATGAATGGATTGTGTGTATGACAGGAATTCCTAACTGGGGTCCAGGGTTTTCAGGAGACTCACTACCCCTTGCTTTCCTACTATGTAAAGATGTACATCTGAGTGGTTTCTTTGGACAAGATTTCTGCTTTTCATTGCAATTTTTTTAAAGGGATACATGGCTTCATTAATGTCTACAGGAGGGATGGGCAAATTTTCAGTAAAGAGCCAGATAGAATATTGTAGGTGTTTTGGGCCACAGGGTCTGTTTTTCAATACTCATTCTGCTGTTGCTGTGGGAAAGTACCTACAGACAGGACAAAGAGAGTGTGGCGATGTCCCAGTAAAACTTTACTATGGACTTTGAAACTTGAAATTCATATAGTTTTTATGTCACAAACTATTACTTTTCCTTTGATTGTTTTGCAGTCATTTTAAAATGTAGAAAAAGAAAATAAATGAGCAAACAAACTAAACACAAAAACACTTTTTAAGCTCAGGGATCATAGAAAACTGGGAGCAGTCCAACGTGCATTGTCAGAGAAAGTTTTTAAGAGGCAAATTCTAAAACTTCTTTTTAATCTACTTCAAGAAACTCTGGAAATGCAGCCCAGTAATAAGTGTTAAAAAAACCTTCTAGGTGAAATGATACTAACATTTGAGGGAAATTTCTCTAAAGTCATTGCTCTAATGATTTAATCCATCTACTCATTGTTGCAACAAATGACTTTTGAGAGGTTAATTTTGTAGGAATAAAATGGAGAAACTATTATTTTTCTTTGCATAGATGATAGAATAATCCTCTAATGAAACAAGAAATGGAAATTTTTGAAAATGACTTACATTACCTCTCTCCACATATATATCTTAGTACATGTGACATACTTTCATATTCTATTCTGTTCTATTTCTATAATATCCAACTCAATAAATTTATTTTTATCATCCACTAATGGATCACAACTGTAGTTACAAAATACCATGAAAATATGCTCACCAGTGCAAATTCCTTGTTGAGAATCATCTGCTCCACCAAAGATGACTCATTGTGGAACAGGTGGGGCTGCATGTGGCTCCACATGTGAGGAAACCACCAGAACTCATCCACAGACCGAAGCAAAAGGTCATCACCTTCATCTTCCTCTTCAGTTCCTGTAAAACATAGTTAAACATGGCTTTCTTGAAAATGTATGACTTCAACAGTTATCGTCAGATTTAATTTTTCATGTTACTGATACACAGGCTCAGTTGTGTGTTTATTAATTTTAAAAGATCACAGTCTAAATTTTATCAGAGAGTATAGGCATTTGGGCACTGAGTAGTAGATTTCACTGTCCGTGGCTGGAGACAGTTAATTTAGAATTTAAGAGAAATTTTACCTAATTTTAAATGATTTATTGTTTAAATTGTCTCTTATTGTACATATCTGACCAGTGATAGCAAGTCATTTTTCTCTTAAAAATTTCTTACGTGAATCTAAAATTGAGCGTATAATTTAACTGATAAATTTTTTGATGTTTATGATTACAAAAAAGTGTGTTTATTGAAGAAGTGTGCAAAGCAGAAAGAATATTTTATAAAACCAAAAAAAACCCAAAATAAAACAACTCATAAAACCATCTCTAGAAGTATCCATTGGAATCTTTTGTGTATCTTTCTTTAAAAAATATATCTATTTATTTTTTAATAATTTTGCTTCCTTGTATTTAACATAATACATATAAAATGTCCCATTTTAGTATAACTATTTCAGAAAAATTTAACAACGAATCTTTTAGTTGTTTATAATAGAAATCTGACTTGACAATTTAAAACTAGTATTTTTTCTCATGTATTGGAAAAATCATTAATGGCACCCAACACAAAACCATTGTTTTGCCACAAGTTAAAAAATAAAGAAAAAACCCAACAACTTATTTCTAAGAGAATTCATTATATTGCAGCTATCCAAAAATATTTTCATTGTATAAAATCTTACAGTTTTTGTACAGTTTTATAATATTCAGTTCAATCTTAAAATATTTTTAATCAATCATAATAATCAATTCCCATTTGGTCTCCAAAAATGAAACTAGATAATTAAAGTAAAATGACAAGTTGGGTCATAGTGTGAAGCATATTTATTTGGTTTATTTTTTCATAACTGTTTTACGAGTAGGTGCTTAATTTTATATTTTTTACTAAAATTAAGGAAATAAATAGTAAAGATATTTTAATGATTTTTAGACTGTTTAATTTACATCTTCCATAAAAAGGACTTTGTTGTACATGGAAGTAGTATCACAAAATAGGTAACACATATATTTGATGTCAATACTTGGAATGGAGTCTCTACTTATGTCACTTAATTAATGTGATCTTGAGAAATTAACTTCTTTGCATCTTAGGGTCCCAGCTAAGAATGGAGGTATAAATACATAAGATCTTAGTAAAAAAAAGGCAATGAGATAAATTTATCAAAGCACTTATTACTATTTTGTGGCTTGCAGATCAAAGGATTTATAAATATTATGATCTTAAAAGTAAATTCAACTGGTTTATGCTTGCTGAGTTTTTAATTTATATTTTTACACATTCTAAATATCTTTAAATTATAGATTATAATTTTTTTGAAGTCAGGCACTGGATCTTATTAACTTTCACAAAAACATGCTATTTCCCCAGAGCAGTGAATAAATGAATAATTTTATCCATCTTATGTTTACATAGTCAACGGACTTTAGCAGCTTACTAAAGCTCCTGAAGCAGGTGCCAGCATGTGTGTCCTTTACATATATTCATTGTTCCAGGGACAGAGTTCTTAATTCACACTCCCAAAAGTTATATGTACTACCAGATTTAAGTAAGGTTTTGGCACCAGTGAATACTACCACACAGAGAAAGAAATAGAAGTTTTGAAAGTAGTACAGTTTTATGAATATGAAGAGACAGCATTCTTAATTTTTGTTAAAGTTATCTTAAAGCATTAGTATTATGGATTCATAATTCTTTGACTTTTGTGAATGTTATGAATATCAAATATTGAAATTCAAATGTAGAAGAGTTTTTTATTTCCTCAAATAAAGACTTTATGCTGCAGAAGTCTCTCATGGCCATAATTTAGCCAACCAAGTTATAGATTAGAGTTACTTTATGTCACATATGATGAAGGAATTGGTAGTTCATTCTCTACCACAACCCCTGGAATTAGTGTGCTGTTCTTTGAATATAGAATGTTTGAGAAATGTTGCCATTCTCTTTTAACACCACTCTCATTATTGCAAGTGGCAAGAAGCACATAATATACACTTGACCAGAGAGAAGGTCAATTACTCAATTTAAAGAAAATTTTTCCAACTACTGATATAAACAGATGCATGATTGATCATAAAATCTGAGTAATTTTTATATCAGACATTATATTAGTTTGCAAACACTCTCCACACAGCTGAGAGTGACATTTACAGCCTGTTTTCTATTACCACTTTCTAATGTCATGGGTTAATTTCTGTCAGCCTTTCTCCTATTTTATGCTGGTCATATAGTTCAAAGCCACATGAGGCAGAGCCTTGACACTGGAAATAACTTAATGAAAAATGTGATACCAAGTCATGCCAAGGGAATTCTGAAGAATTTTAATAGTTTTCAAATGAAACTGTTGTAGTTTTGACCAACTCTAATTACATATTTAACTATATTTAATGTAAGTTTAAATTACACTAAGCCCCTGACTTAATGAACATTCGAGTTGTGAAGTTTCACAGATACAAATAGACCTCAAATTAGGAACATCTGTAGATGTAAACAAATCGCAGAAGTAGCTTATGTGTCTGTCAGGTGTTGTCACAGTTGTGCTGCTATGTGTTTTACTGTGCTTAAAAGTAAAAACAGTTTATTTATAGAATTTGTATATGTGTTTGGTTTTTTTATGGTTTGCATTGTATATTTGTGTCAAAGGTGTGTAAGACTCACTTTGTCTGACTTAGGAATGAACCCAACTTACGACATTCACCTAGAACGGAACTCTAAGTCCGGGACTTGCTTTTATGTGTAAAAATGTAACTTGTAGTTCATAGATGATCATATTAACACAAGTCAACATATTAAAGTTCTGTTCTCAAACTGAGCCTTTTCTTTCATTCTTTGGTGTTGTTTTCTGAATTTTATTTACTCTAGTTTGAATTTGGAAGGTAAAATTGCTTTAAGTGTAGTGTCAAAAATAAACACTGCTACTTCCTACGATGTAAGGATGCTGTGATGTCTGTGCTTGAGGCCTCTTCTGTGCTGAGCACTCTTCCGTTGGCAGTAGCTTTTCTTGTTTTGTTTTTGTTTGTTTGTTTGTCTGTTTTTAAGCCTTTTCTTTCTAACCTTATCTACAGTTATAGAACATGCCTTGATTTGAAGTAAAATATATGAGGAGTTACTTCCTTTGTTTTAATTTCTGGAGGATCTGAGTTGGGAGATAATACTGTTTCTGAAATTTCTTTAAGTCTGCCAAAATAAGAGTGTGTTTGTATGTGTATATTTGATCCAGAGCCCAGTTCATATTAAGCATATGCTTTACCTGTGACCTACATCCCCATCACAAAATAAGAAAAAATTTAGCAAGATCTGAACTATAGGTTAATAGTCTTAATTGTACAGTTATAACATTAAACTAAGTTATATAAAATTCCAGTGCCTGGATTCTCTTATACAAATATGTACCTTATATTTGCTCATTATATGTGAAATATTGAAATTCCTAAATGGTAATATTTCTTAATGTTCTTTGCATACTGAATTTGGTATGATCCCATACAAATGAGTCTAAAATTCATTTTAACTGTAACACTAAACAATAGAATTTATATGATGAACATTCATTCAAAGATTTATAGTTTCAAAATTAGAAAATAGAGTCATATAAACTACTGCTGACATTTTTGATAAAATTTTATTCATAGATGTATAAATGCTTTTCTTATTAACAATAAATAAAGCACTTACCAATATTTGGCACTGTTCCAAGTGAGAGAAATATTATTACTGTATTATCCCTATCTTGTAGATGTGGAGACTGAAGTACAAACAGGTTAGTAGGTTGTGTTCACATAGTTAATAAAATGTCAAGAGTCTTTATTTTTTTGTGGTACTGAGGATCAAAACTAGGTTCTCAAGCAGATTAAACAAGAACTCTATGACTGAGCTACATTCTTAGCCCTTTTTATAAATAAATTAATTAGTTAATTTGATACAAAGTCTAGATTTTAGCACAAGCTTCCTGTTTCCAATATCCAGTCTTTTAATCCATGTTTTATATAGAGAAGCCAAAATAAACAAAAAGTAAAGGAGAACATATGTTATATTTTTCATGTTTCTAAGTTTATGATTTCATATAAACTGCTATTTTTTGTAAAATTTACTCCCCTGGAAAAGATTATTGTAAAGCCAATTTGCAAACATATTCATACATTAATTATTGGTGGGATCATGTTCAGTTTCTTTTGAATTACTAGAAGACCAATGATTATCATCAGAAATTGTGTCCCATGACAAATAAAGCATGTAGCCTCCCCTTGCCTAGAAAGCAGCTTAATGTTGTAATTTCACTATTTTCTAAAAGGGCTTTTATTGTGCAATTTCAAACATGTTGTAAATATTTCCAAACTAAAATCTTTCACTTTAAACTCCTTGCTTTTATTTTTTTCCCCTTTTAATCAGCATTGCATCCTTCTTTCAATTTAGTACCCATGAATGAATGATTTTTAGGGAAGGCTTAGTAATATGCCCCTTTGGGGTAAGATTGCTTTTAGCATGTGAAGGACAGAGAAGCTGAACAGGGAAGAATACATGATAAATACAAATAACTGAAGCAGGCTAAGATATGCGGAATCAATCATTATTACACTGGACATGTGTGATTAAATGTCTTCAGAACAATGAAGCTCATCAATCAGAATCCTTGTACATTGGGAAATCAGATCATCCTGGGAGAGAACTGAGGCAGTCATTGTAATAAGGCCATCTCCTCAGGGTTACATATCACAGCCAAGCACACACAAGGAGAGCACTTCCTTGATTTGCAATCTTTTTTTCTACAATATTAAATCTTCATATAGAAGTTTGACTTGACAGGGTTGCTGCATGCTTTTCTGATAGTGAGTGTCACTGTTGTGTAATTCATCCCTGCACAAAAGCTTGATTTGCCCAAGTGTGTTAATATCCACTCAACATAATATAATTGCACTCTTGAAAATTGTTGAAAATTGTTATATATGCTTTTCAATGTTCTGCAGATAAAATAGCATAACAGTTAAATAAAAGTTATATGTTAGTCTGAAGGAAATTAAACTTACAGGATTTGCAAGTTTATATATACTGCTTATTCTCTGAAGTGCAGTATAACCAAACAACTGCATAGGCTGGTTCTTCCATCACTTTTGCTAGGGTAGTTCCAACACAGAGTCAATAAGATCTGTTAGAAAGATGTAACTAAAATATGTCTTTTTGTACCCTGCTTCAACAGCTATACCAGTAATATTGACTGGTTTGTTGCTTATTTCTTAGTGGATGTGCACTGTGTACTTGTTCAGGATTATAAAGGAGAAATGGGAAACCTTTTAACTTTTATAAGCATTAACTCTGTAAATGTCTGGCAGGTCTAATAGGTCTGAATATGAGGAGTAAGTAAAAGCTGTGGTGGTTATACAGACATATTCAGCCAAAAGAATGCCTTTAGTTATATCATTCAGTTATTTCAGACAAAAATGGTATTGTGTATGAATCCCAAATAATATCATAATTTTTTTCCTTGCATGAGTAGACACAGCCTTTACAGTTATTTGGTTTATAACTTTGCAGTCAGAACTTCTTAGACCTGAACTCATTTCTTAAGGGGGCTTTTGAAGACGATTTACAAAACTATTTTCAAAATTGTAAGCTGGAATTGCTTTGCCTGTGCAGGCATGATGACCCAAATCTTTTTCTGCAAAATATCTTTTTAAAATATGTAATCATTTGATTTATCAACTAACTAATTTGCCTTCTATTATTTTAGACAGATTTACATGTTTCAAAGCAGGAGAAAAAAGCATCAGGAAAAGCCAATAAGACATTACTCCTTCAATACTTTAATAAACCATGCTGAGCTTTTACATTAAACTGCTGCATTTCTGATAATTAAATACTACCTTTTCATGGAATATTTTAAATGAGTCAATAAGCGGTATATATATGTATAGTGAAGAGTATGAAATGTTTCCATTAAGATGCTGTGAAGAAACAACAGTGCAGTATCCTACAGAAAGCATTTATCTCACAGCATAAATGCACAAGTAGGTGCAGACCACGTGTGTTCCTGTAATAGAGGGCCTAGCACATAGTTTAGTACTGTTACTGCCATAATTTTAAAGCATGCATATTTATGAACATAGATCCATACTAGGGCTATAGAGTCCTAATATTTGGAAAATAAAAGTCAAAATTTGGAGGAAAGGGTATAAAGAGGTGAAAAATACCAGAACACAGAGTAAAACATGAATAGCAATTTCATTTTGAGAATTTGTTGAAAAGCTGAGACTGTACAGAAATGTAATAGCTAGATAGAAATGGAGAGAAATGCAAGACTGATTGTGAGGTTGTTATTGGGCCAAATTATTGAAATTATTGATAATATTTTTAAAGAAATATCATAGAAGAGAAGATAAACTAATATGACCCTTAGGTTCTATTAAATTATTTTGAGATGATTGCTTTCCAACACAAGATTTTTTTCCAAAGGAAAAATTATATGTACAAAAGAATCCACTACTTTGACTATTTGAAAATTTAAAACACTTTAATTAATAGTATTAGTATCAGTATTATTGTCATCATGATCATTACTATGCTATGTTACCACTTAGACTCTGCTGATGAAAAGGGTCCATACTCATACTTAGAACAATAATTACAGTTTTTTTACTGAGCTAATAAAGGCAATTCACTTTTTCTTTTGGCCTTGATTTTAATAGTATTTGCCAGAGTAAACGAATTCGTTGACTTTAGATTTGGCCACTCATATAATGCACACCAATTTTTCTCATAATCAGTCTGGATATTCTATTTTCCCTGCTTATGGAACATTTAAAATCTTAACTCCTATTTATGTGTAGCTGCCTGAGAACACAAAGCTCCTTCTTACCTGTATGGTAAAACTTCCCTGAAAATCCAAGGTTGAAGGTAAAATTTGCAACCTGAGTGCGCAGTAAATTTTGAGTCTCTAGTAATGCCTGAAATAAATAAGAAATTAACATGATTTTAGAAAATAAATTTGAAGAACTGGGATGCCTCTTTTCCAAATGTGTGTGCATGGATGAAACAATAATATAGGCTTTGTTGCTTTTTGGGTGTTTGATGGGCACTGTTATATAGTATTCATATTCCAAGTATTATAATTACTATAGTTATTATTTTTATTGAAGGCTACCAAATTATAAAACAGTTAAGTCCTAAGCATATTATGTATTACTGAGAGGTAATTCTCTAACTGCACAGTACTGAAATCATTTTGCATTTCTATGTGAGTCATTTCTTGATTTTTAGATTATTGTAATACCTTTCCTTGGGAAAAAAATTTCAGAATTGTTGAACGTAGACAAATTCCCTATCTGTTAGTAAGAAATAGAAAGGAATGTTTGTTTGAACTACAATTTAATGTTTTATTTAATTGTGCTATCCTATCCATCATTTTAAGGCATAATTACTGAGATGAAGGCTTCAGTTTTTACTTTTTAAACTAAAGAGTAAACTTATATTTTATAAGGGATTTCTTACAAATATAGAGGTAAGGAGAAAGAAAGAATATATAACAACAAGTACCCTTTATGTTATTAGCTCTGTAAAAACATAGCCTCTAAAAATAACAAATATTTTCCTAAGTTCTAGATTTGGATTTATGTTATGATAATTTGTAGACAGGACAAGAATACATTGATAATAATTAGTCAGTATTAGTCAAGTAAAATTTCTGCCAATCCTCTAGTAACTATTATTCTTATATCAACATATGTAGCATAATTCAGAACTCTCATATCTGTGGGCTTTTTGTTTTCGTATTGGCCTGCTTATTAATCCAGAATGCTTTTAACATTTTTAAAATGGATTTTTAAAGTGGATTCACCTTGTTCAAATGGAAATGAGAAGCTAATTTCAAACTAGAGATAGTAGTTAGACTGATATTTCGGTTACTGCTATCTGTTGAGGTGAACAAAGCTTCAGAGGTTCAGATAATTTCTTTTTTTATTAGCCATGGTAGCTAAACATTTGCTCAAAAAATTTGTGAAACTATTCTTTTGTCTTCAAAATTAGTTTACTTTGAAAGAAAGAAATGAACAAATACCTAAAAGATTGATAAACTATATAGTTCTTGGTTATCCAAAGCTGTAATTATAAAGTGTAAGCAAGGCCAATCTTTTTCAAATATTAGCACTTATATAGACAACGAAAAAAAATATACTCATTGGTTTGACTCACTTTTAAGTCTTTGAAATGTCTATTAAATATTAAATGAGAGTGGGGTTAAAAACAGCCCATATGAAATTATTTGCACTTACTGGTAAACATAGCCTTAAAATAAGACCACACATGTTTCTTCTTAGTGAGTTGCTTTTTCTGCCCTTTTATTTAAGGTACAGCCCTTGAGGACCCGTATCTTGAAATACATATTCCCCTCCTTCACTTAAACCCTGTTTACTCGGTTTTCCTTGAGTTCTTTAACTCATTCTTTATTCTGTGTTTATTTATACAGTATACATTCTTAATATTGTGAATGGGTAGTGTTGGGTTTAATAAAGATGGCTCATATGATGTTGGACTTTACTGCCTAGAGGAGAGAGGTATAAAATAGTCATGTAAACGTGTAATTGCAACTCTTGATAAGTGTGGCAAAGAAATCTTGATCGTCCTGTGATAGACATAAACGGGATTTTAGACTGGGGGCGGAGCCTCTACATTCATTGCTTTCTTAGGAGCAGGGGAAGATCAAACGGTGGAATTTTTTCCTGATCAACTTCCCACAACCTTAGATAAACCCTCATTATCTTCCTCTTGTTTTTTGAAAAACCTATGTCATTTCCAATTCCCACTTGCCATTTCTTCCATTCTCAGCTTCCCCTTCTCCCGCTGAAGTCACCTTAACCTCCCAAAGGCAGTCAGTGCTCTGTAACACTGGGTCTGAGAGGCAATGAATTAATGTTTCAAATTTTGTAAGTCATTTCACTTCTCTGGTCTTTCCCTTTGCAAGTAGGATACTGAATATTTACTTCATATTATTGTTGTGAAAATACATGGCGTAGATCATGCATATTATTTAGTTAAGTCTCTGTGCATAGTAAGAGTTGCATAAATACTGGTTTTCCTCCCTAGATATATCGTCCTCTTCACATCAGTTAGGAATCCTTGATGCTTCCACATTTGTAATTGAGCAATCTAATTTCCTCTCCCCGCAAAACCACCATGTACTGAGGTTAAAGTGAACTTTCTTCCATCTCTCACATTCCTTCACACATTTTCTCACTCTGTTCCCTTTGCCTAGAAAGCTTTCCTTGACCCCTTTCCCATTTCCCAAAACTACCCATTTTTATAATCTTTGCCCCAATGCCATCTTTTTGTGCAAAGCTTTTTCTGATGCTTTAAAGATTTTCCTTTTCTCATTTCTCAAATAAGATTTCTAATTTATTTTCTGAAGACTACCCGGATTATTTTCTTTTCTGTTACATGTGTTCTGAATATTACTACTCTCTGTAGTCTCTAAATACCTTCAGGTTGATCAAACCTTACTCATTTATATGTATCTCATGTTGCTAAATGTATCATGCACATGTGAAAGCTATGCAACATATGACAAAAGCACATGTTAATACATAGTAGTAAATATAATTAGTCTCACTTATTTTTATTAGTAACATTTTTCCAATAGTAAAATGATAAATGTGATTCATAGGCTGCAATTGTTAATTGTGATGTTTCAGCTTGACTTGAGTAAAAACCATTTATTGACTTAGTAATTTCCAGATATGCCTATGGATGGGTGACATGTGGACCAGCAAACTGAGGGGGAAAGACTCACCTAGATACGGTGGCACCAACCAATAGGCTTATAGCTTGGACAGAATAAAATGGAAAAGAAGGAAGCTTTTGGACATTAGTCTCATTTCTTTAGCTTTCCAGAACAGATTCCAGTGTACACTCTTTGGTCTTCTAACACAGACTCACACTTGTGATTACAATGTGTTTCCAGGTCTTTAACCTTTGACTGCTACTGGATCCTCTGGCTCTAGAGTGCACCAAGGGCCATTTTGCACTCTTCCATCTTTGATTCTACAAATGGCCACTCATATTGTTCCCCATAAGGAATGCAAACATTATGTATTACACACACATATTAAATATAAAAAAGCTTCAGAAATAAAAGAAAGAAGAATAGATGAATACCTCAGATGCTAGCACTGAACAAAAATATAAGGGTCTTTTGTGGAGAGAAAGTTTTAGAGTGTCTGGCTCCTACTAAAATTGTACTCAACTGAATGAAAACCTATCGAGTCAAAAGACACCTTGATGTTTCAGAGCCATTGTTTTGTTTGTTTGTTTTGTTTTGGTCATTTCATCCATCTCTTTCCATCCCATCTTTTTTTTTTTTTCTCAGTCCCTAGGGAGCCAGGCACGTTTAGCTCAGTCTCTGAACCCTTTTCCCTTCTCATGCCATTGTTCCCTCATTTGTTCGTTCATTCATTCCTTAGCTCAGTTTTGATTGAGCTAATATATTTAATGTAATTAAATATAATTTGATGCTTCCACATTTAATATTTGTTTAATATAATATTTAATATAATGATTTTAATATAATTATTTATTTAAATCTCCCAATGACTCCTTTATTAACTCTATCTTACAGATGGAGAAAATAAGGAATCACGAAGTACCTGATACACAAAACTTTTCAGTTTGCTGTTTTCATGGACCTTTCAGTCTTTTCAGGCACATGGATGATACATCTAGCAAATCAATGGAATTGTTATTTAATTGCTAACTTTCTTAGCTTCCAAAAATAATCTCATCATATGCTATTGTTGAAACCAACACAGAACCATATATTTTGACAGCATAGGATATGATATTAATGAAATCCTCTCAGAAACAGTGGCCATTTAGTTGAGGTCTGAAGAACAGAAGGTCCCATGGGGACCTGAGACGACTACTTCAGACAGAAAAGAACTTGATGTCTTCTTAATACACAACCTTATACTTCATTTCACATTAGATATGATTGAAAGTTAAATTAACTCTTCTGGCTACCATAAGAAAACAGGAGGATGATTTAGAAAACCACAGAATTCCAGTAAAAGATAATGGAACCACGGCTGCTGTTGGTGGTACTAGGAATGGAAGGAAGCAAATGGTGTGATTTGATGGTCTGATGCAGGAAGTGAGAAAGAATGTGATATCATGAATTGTTGAGGTTTCTGACATTTAGTGAGGTGGGGAAATTTGGGAAGTTTTCAGGGAAAAAATCATTTTGTCCTCTGTTATCTTAAAAATTACTTCTCACAGCAGCATGACTCTGTTGTTGGAGCCTCTGTATCATCCTTAGTAGAAAATACAGAGCTTAAAGTCATTGCTTTTAACTCTTTGTTATCCAAGATTGGAGGGTAAAGTTCAGAAACTAAGTGATGACATAATGCGTTTGTGGGTTAGAGGAGGGGTCTCATAGTACAAGGAATGCATGTTAAGTATTGGAATGTGACATTGATACTGATTGAAGATACTGGAAAAGAGAGGGAAAATATTGAAAATAGTTTTAACATCAAAAAATAATATTAACTTGTATCTTTACCTGAAGAATCCACATTTTTGCTTGATTTTAAATGAACATGAGTAAGGTTATATAAACCATTAAATCTGAAGTGCTGTCATAGTACTGTAAACTTTATTTGACTATTTCAGCAAAACACTCCATGTGTGTTTGTCTCTCTTCCTGGTGGGGTTTGTCTCAGGCCCTAAACTTTGTACTGTAGAGGGACCTGTGTATCTCAATGTTCACAGAATTCCCAGCCCCTGGGATCTGTCCATCTGAAAATTTCCAGTCAGAAATATGGGCTCTTTTCTCATAATTTCTCCTTTCCCTTCTTTCCTTTCCCTTTCCCCTCTCACTTCCCCTATCCCTTTGGACCTTTTCTTCCTATTTCAAATTATCAATTATTCATTTTAATCATTTAAATCCTTATTTACAGGC